TGTACATCCTCTGGTCTAGCCAGACTTGCAAGGTAGAATTTGGATCATGATAGTGGGGGGTGGAGGAAGCATTTAGGAACTAGAGGAAAGTTGTATTGTTCATCGTTACTACATCACACCCTGACTGGCTTGGAGGAGACAGATTTTTAATGTTTTGTAAAAGTGACAGGCGGCAGCATGAGGGGAAAGGAGGGAGGAGAACTAACCGTTATTGCACAACCAGTGTGTGTGTCAGACACCCATTCTCTCCTCACAATAGGTCTGTTGGGAAATACAAATCAATCTCCATTTATAAAGACGGAAACAGGTCCTTAAAAAAAATGGTTGACGTGAATCTCTTAAGTGGCACAATCAATTTCCACAATTAGTTTGCTCAACTCCCAAATCCACGCTTTTCTACCCCAACACAAAGACAGGCCAATTTCCTCTCAGTCCCTGTCAGCAAGCCTTGACTTTTGCAAAAACAAGGGAGTAGCTCTCAGATGGCCATTCTCGTTACTTACTTCTCTGTCCCGTGAGCAGCTAATAGGGACCTCCTCTCACCCCTGTGCAGGAAGAAAATAGTCAACCCTGTTGAGTGGCTCCCCTCACTCCAGGGAGGGGGACAACCATCTCCATCGTCCTCTTCTGAAATGGAAAAGCAACTGTTTGTAGCCCAAGATGCTGTGTCAGGCAGGCTTTCCCCTAGAGTCCAAGCCTGAGAGGAGAAGATCAAGATGGCATGGCTTGGCAGAACAGTAAGGCATGCGGATAGCATAGCCTTGCTTTGGTAAAGTTCCTGGCGATTACCCATCCATCTTCGCTGGGACAATAAGATAGGGGTGTCAAAGAACTGGCGGAAACATCGTCCTGGATAGTTGTTGTGAGCTTGCATGACATGCCATCAGCTGATTTCCACTCTTAAGGGCCCCATGTGACAGAGTGGAACCACCCCCCTCGAGGTCTCCAGAATGCTATCTTCACAAGAGCAGATGGCCCCTCTTTCTTTCATGGAACCTCGGGATGGGTTCCAGTCGCCAGCTTTGGGTTGGCAGTTGAGTGATTAGCCAGTGTGCTACCAGGGCTCTCTTCCTTGTGGGTCATGAGCCAATTGAGAAGATTTAGGTAAGTCAGCAACTAATTCAAGTCTATGGTGTGAAAATACTAGAGTCAGGAAGTCTCTCACTCAAAGCAAAAGTGAAAGACGTAATGAGCAGGAGTCCTAAGACAGGGGCTTTGGTGGCCTAGTGGTTAAGCATTGGACTACTAATGGCAAGGTCAGAGGCACAGTCTGAGAAACTCCTAGGGGCAGTTCTACTCTGTCCTAGAGGGTTGCTATGCATTGGCATGGACTCGATGGCAGTTGAGTTTCTTTGTTTTGTGTGGGAGTTGGGGTTCATAGTCCTAAAAGAGCAATTGTTAGTAATAGCTACTGCGTGCAAAGCATTCTACGTGGACCAACTCATTAGTTCTCACAACTTGGTGTTGTAGGTGCTAGGATTCTGCCCTCTTGCAGATGAGGAAATGGAAGCACCAAGTAGATCACACACCTAGGAAGGGGCAGAGCAAGGTAGTCCAGTGGAAGACTGCGTGAGATGATCTCCTAAGATTCAGAATCATTTTACCACCGTGGAAACGTTCTTTGTCTCCAAGAAATGAAATAAAATGCAGATTCCATGAGGCCTGTACTTTTTTCAACTATACAAAGTTAGAGGAGAAAGTGGACCACGCAGAGTTAAAACTGAAAAGGAGAAAGGGTCCCTGTGTGGACTTCCACTGAAGCAGTCAAACCCTGTGGACGCTATTCGGGTCATTCAAAGACATTACAAAAGAACAAAACTCCACCCTAAACAAAGAGCTCTAGAGACTGTTGTTGGGTGTGACATTCAACTGAAAGGAACCCTGGTGGTGTAGTGGTTATGTGTTGGGCTGCAATCCGCATGGTTAGCAGTTGGAAACCTCCGGTAGCTCTGAGGAAGAAAGACTGGGCTTTCTTCTCCTGTGATCAGTTTCGATCTAGGGAACACACAGGAGGTCGCTATGAGGCAGCATTGGCTCTATGGCAGTGAGTTCAACTGACGAAAAGTCCATTTTTTACTTATCTTAGTAACATTTCTCAAACCTGACCCTCAAAAACTCACTGCCATTGAATCTATTCCAACTCAGAGAGACCCTACAGAACAGATTAGAACTGCCCTTTTGAAGTTCTGAGGTTGTAAATCTTTACAGGAGCAGAGCAACCATCTTTCTTTAGTGAAGCAGCTAGTGAATTTGAACTACTGGCCTTTTGGCTAGCAGCCTACCTTCTGTGCCAGGAGGGTAACCTATGGCAAATTGGAAAAGTCAGACAATGTGATGTCTTAAGTAAGGATGAATTTATTTTATTTAAAAGCTTGTCTTTTATTTCATTGATGATTAAGGGCAGAAATGCTAGCATGTGAGAGCCTGGGTTCAAATCCAAGTTCAATGCCTACTAGTGTAAGATCTTGAGCAAATCAATTAATTTCTCTGTACCTCAACTTCCTCATAGGCAAACAGGTAATAATAGTTCCTGCTACCTCAAGCCTTTTTGGAGTATTAAATGAGTACATGTAGGAATCGCTTAAAACACAGCCTGGCACACGGTATACACTGTAATTGTGTATACACATGTATATACTTTTTACATTTTAAAATGCAGTCATTTTTAGGAAACGGTGGTGGTGACAAAATGACAGGTGCTTTTTGTTTGTTTAGTACTTTTGCTTCCTCATACAAAATCTGGCAATCTGGCACCGCCTACTCAATACTCACCCTCATGAAGCGATCACTGAAGATATGGGTGCTATAGTGAAGAACAGGAGAGAAACTAGATGGTGCCTGGCTATCAGAAAGAATAGCATCTGGGGTCTTAAAGGCTTATCTTCAAACAAGCAGCCATCTAAATGACATGTCAACTAAGTCCACATGGAAGAAGCACACCAGTCTATGTGATCCAAGGATTGTAAAGAATAAGATCCAAAGAAGGGAAGGGTATCAGACCTTAGATTCTGAACACCTGTTTTGCAGACGGCTGTGGATGTCAGTGGAAGTCCAACATCCATTTGCGGAGAGCATTGTAAAGCCAATTGTGGCAGATATATTTAGGTTAAAATGTAATGTCTTATCATTTGATCTGCCGTTGGACCCATTTTAAAGTTTCAGGTTTTAATATTTTCTGTTTTCTTTTCAAATGGAGGTTTGTCTGCTTTGTCTAGTCCTTATTGGTTTTTATTGTTGTTTGCTTCATTTTTGTATCACTTTCTGTATATGAAATCCAGGATAAGGTAAATGTATAGAAATAGTAACTGGATTAATAATTGCCTAGGGGCATGACAGGGCAGGTTTAGAGGGAAATGGGGAGCTAACAACAATGAATATGAGAAGAAAATGTTCTGAAATTGATCGGGCTGCTTGCACGATGATTGCACAACTCTTCTTAATATGTTAGTATTAAATGCTATGGTATATGAAGTATATGCCAATAAAATTGTTTTTTTAAGAGAGAAAGTTAAATTTAACCTAGACAGATAATTATAATATATAAATATAAGCTAGACTAGTAAATATAATATAATCTAGACTAGTCTAGATTTTATATTTGTCAAGAAGACTTACATGCAGATTGTGATTTAGGAATTGAAAAAGAAAGATTGGATGGATAAATGATTGTTCTTCTCATTCATTTAGGAAAATCTAGTTACTTATGTAGTATAGTTTTTCTGATTTTCCTTCAAAAACTCTAATAACATTGGTGGTGTGTCTTACCCCCTCCACTCCCCAAACACACACACACACACACACACCAAAAAAAAGCTGTCAACACTATCTTGGTCCTCTCCTCCTGTAGTTTTTCTTATTTAATTTCACTGCTATCTAACAGGGAGCTGGGGGGACGTGTTGGGCTGCAAACTGCAAGGTCAGCAATTTCAAACTACCAGCTGCTCCACGGGAGAAAGGTGGGCTTTCTACTCCCAAACAGCATTAGTCTCTGAAGCTCACAGGGGCAGCTCTACACGGTCCTATGGAGTTGCTATGAGATGGCAGTAACTCAATGGCACTGCGTTTGATTTGAAATGATATTCAACAGTCTGACAATGACTGATCTGTTATCAATTGAGAGACCCAAAATGGTATATGTTTTTCCTTTATAATTGATTTATTTTCTTCCATACATTCCAACTTCCTGGAACTCCTGCTAAGTACTTAGAAGATAGCGGGTATATAATAAAGTCTATGTAGGATTGGCCATTTTTCACAATATTTTATTATCTTATTAGGATAAGCTAGAAATAGGATTTCTAGGTCAAATCAGATTCATGTTAAAATTGTGATATCTGATGCTTAACTGTCCTTCAGAAATGTTGTCCACGAGTGTCCACTTTCCCTGACATCCAGGCAGTGAAACCGGATCAATCCTTAGACGAGGAGGCACAGGGTTCCTGCCTACCTCATGCCTGCCTGCGCTCAGATTAGTTCTGTCTGAAAGAGAGTTTCTCACAAGCTCTTTGGGAGGTAAAGGCCAAAGGGGAGATGCAAAGGTGCAGAGTCCCCGTCCCTCTCTTGGGCTTCCTAGAACTATAGAGGGTCCCTATGAGTCAGAATTGATTCGATGGCAATGAGGTGAGTTGAGATAAGTCACACCCCTAGGAACGAAGATGGAATCAACAGTAAATAACACGCTGTATCCAGCATGCTCGATTCTCTCTCTCCTCCAGCTTTCCATCCATGAGACGGACGACCCCGATGACAATCGCTTCCTCGTGGTGATGAAAGGGGCCCCTGAGAGGATCTTAGAGAAGTGCAGCACCATCATGATCAACGGCCAAGAGCAGCCCTTGGACGAGAGCTCAGCGGAGGCCTTCCACACAGCCTACATGGAGCTCGGAGGCCTGGGCGAGCGCGTGCTGGGTGAGCTCTTTGGAGCAGATCTCTTTTTTGTTTTTTCTAATCATTTTATTGGGGGCTCACACAGCTCTTATAACATTCCATACACTGATTGTATCAAGCATATTTGTACATAGGTTGCCATCATCATTTCCAAAATATTTTCTACTTGAGCCCTTGGTATAAGCTCTTTTTTCCCCTCCCTCCCTGACGCTCCCACTTTCGTGAATCCTTGATCAGTTATATATTGTTATTATTATTTTGTTTCTTACACTGTCCGTTGCCTCCCTTCACCCACATGTCTGTTATTCATCCCCTTTGGGGAGGACTATTTATCCAACCTTGTAATGGGTTCCCCTTTTCTCCCCCTTCTTGACCATCCCCCTACTCTCATGATATGCTACTCCCCCTACTGGGAGCAGAAATCTTATCAATCACCCAATAGATGCAAGGTTCCAACCCTGGGCCAGAGCAAAAGGCATGGCAGGCAACTTTGAGTCATGTCCTATTTAGTAGAGCCATATGGCACCCACATTAGAAACACTAAGAAGAAGATAAACATGATGGAAAACATAACACAATGTGCATGGCAGTTTAAAGAAAGAGGAGATAATGTCCAATGAGTAAAATCAGGGAGATTTTATGAAAGGAATTATGTGTGAACGTGAGCCCTGAATGACAGACAATATTTTGAAGGAAGGTTGGGAAAAGTCTTCAAGGAAGAGCAATCAACCCAAGCCAGAGCACAAAGGCAGGGCTGGATAAGGAAGGGAAGGCTAGCCTTGCTGAACAGGTGGGTGAGGAATCGGGGTTTCATTCTGCATGTAGTGGAGAGCTGCTGATAGCTTTGCATTAGGAGTGAGCTGCTCATTGATTTGGTACGCTTTTAGGTAAAAAATTTGGCAGTCGCATGTAAGATGGATTGTCAGGGAGAAGAGAGACGTGGTTCTAAGTAGAAGGTGGCTACACTCATTATTCACATGAGAGCATATGGGAATTTGCTCCATGGTTTTGGGAATGAGAAGAAGGGGTCAGATGAAGAGATTTCATGGATACATATTTGTAAGATTTAGCTCATCTGAAAAGTACATTTTGGGAAAAAAAAGTTTACATGATTAGGGGGGAAAATGTCTGTCCCTGAGGTAGGGGTGGTTGGAAAGAACCTTAGAAATACTCTTAGTGTGGAGGAGCCTAGTCACGGCGCCTTAAGTTGTCTGAGGACAGCGTGGTACATTGTGTGGATGGTGGGATGAGCCAAGAATGTCTTCTCAGAAGAACAGAATGATACATTTAAGGTAAGAGAAATTAATTCTTGAAGAGAAAGGGTCATCACAGTTCTTGCCAATGGAGATGTTGGAATCTGTGGAATGTGTGTTACTAAATGATGCAGGAGTCTGTAAATTAATGAAATACATGCATGAGAAAATGATGCTTTGGCAGGCAATCAATATCGCACAGACTGGCTCACCTTCTTTTCAACACCGGACTGATACCCAACTGACGACAGTAACTCTAGACACTTCACGTTTGACCTCTCGATGTCTATACTTTATTGAAATGCGCGTAGTAGTGATCCAGGCTGGAAATAAATTAAAAGGAAATGCTAATGAGAAGACCACAAGATGTTAGAGTCTCACCAGACACAGAAATCCCATCTAGCTCAACTTGTGAGAGGCTTCAGAGAAATAAATGGTTCTGCCCATTCCTCATAGCCTTTCTCTCATGATTACCCTGATACAAGAAAACGTGAGACAACTTCCTTGATATGCCTAGTTCCTTCCCAACTTTGGGCAATAACAAGTGCTGCTTTCTCTACCTTCAACAGCCTACCTACCTCCAGACCTCCCTTCTTTCCACGAAAAACATCTACTTCTCTCTTAGGACCCAGCTCCAATGTTACCCCCTTGGTACAAGTCTTTCCTGATCCCCAGGAAGGCAGAGTAGAGCTATACGCTGGAGCATTGACCATGTTCTAATATATTTTATCTCTTTATCTCTCTGTCTACCCCACTGGGGCATCTTCAGAAGTAAAGGTTTGGTCTTTGTATCCTTAGAATATAACTTGGACCCTAACCACAGTCAGTGGTTTGGGATTAAATATGTCTTTTCTAAAACAATGCATTGTGGAGTTGAAGGAATTAATTCCAAATAATAACTCCACGACCATAAGGGTGAAATATGAAAGTACTGTGAGGGTATCAAAAGGTCCCCCCATTTTGTTCTGTCAGGTCTTCTCCAAATTGCATTAATTCTCAAATTCATTCCCTTTCCAGGTTTCTGTCACCTCTACCTGCCAGCAGAGGAGTTTCCGGAAACCTATTCATTTGACACCGACGCCATGAACTTCCCCACCTCCAACCTCTGCTTCGTGGGGCTTCTGTCCCTGATCGATCCTCCCCGGTCCACTGTGCCGGATGCAGTTGCCAAATGCCGGAGTGCTGGCATCAAGGTGGGAGTCCTTTTCCTGACTCCAGAAGTCCCCCACTGTATGTTGTATCTCTGAGAACCTGTGTCATCAAAGGTGGTCAGTATTTAGAATTGTGTAAATAGCATAGTTACCTTATTTTATCTCTGCTTTGATTAGTGAAGGATTAGGTAGCTGTCCCCCTAAACACAAAATGATTGTGGCAGGCGGACCAAACCTCCCTAGGGATGACAGTGAGAAGACAGCTATCTCCCTGGGGCATGGACAGCTGTCACCACGGTAAAGGTTTCATTGCGTAAGCGTGAGGTTCAGCTTCCAAAGTCTCTTCATCTTCCTGATATTGAAGCCAACATGGAGGTCTGTCACCATGCTACTATCCAGAAATGTGGGACAGCTCCAAACAAGACATCTCTCAGCCCTTTCACCAATCACGTGGGAGCAATTACTTCCTCCTCTGACACGCTAACATCAGAGGAAGGAACGTAAGAAGCCGGGGAGCAAGGGTTGATTGAATGTGCTCAGTGTGTCCAAGACAGAGAGTGGTGTCTTAAGAATCGCCCTCGAGGACAAACCGCAAGAATTGCAAGCCACATTCCTGCAAGTCATGCCAGAGTATGTGATCTTGAATTCCTTCTGTCACTGGCCTAGTTCCTCCTTGCCCACCTGTCTTCCTCCTTGCCCTCTAGGTGATCATGGTGACGGGTGATCATCCCATCACAGCCAAAGCCATCGCCAGGAGTGTGGGTATCATTTCAGCCAACAGCGAGACAGCAGAAGACATCGCAAAACGCCTCAACATTGCCGTGGAGCAAGTGAACAAGCGGTGAGCACAGAATCAACAGAGCAGAAACGAGTTCTTCCACCGCGGCTCTGTTGGCTTTAAAAAGGGCTGTGTGCTCTTTGGCGCAAGTCACCTTTTGGCAAAACACTCTGTCAGGGTAACACTAGAATGATTTGATTTGTAATTCACCTATCCACTCAAAACTTTTAAGCACCTACCACATTCACTCAAAACTTTTAAGCACCTACCATATTCACTCAAAACTTTTAAGCACCTACCATATTCCAGACACACTATTGACACTGGGGAACATTATCTTAGGTCTATATTTCAAAATTTAATGAAGTAAATCTGAAAATTCATGCCCAATTCAGAGTGGGAAAAACATGAACCAAGAGTTTATATGAAATTACTTGGCACTGATAGAGTTTTAGCGTCAGGACTATTAGACCTCAATGAATTTCATACATCCTTAGTGGGCATCTTGGGTATAATCGATATATAATATGCAGTTATGTAAATATATTCTTCATCTCTTTTCTATTGGACTGTAAATGGAATGAAAGCTGCCTCAGGAGAGACTTGATTTTTCCTTGTTTCTTCTAATTATGTTTTCCCCCAACAGTTCGCTTGGTATATAATTCACATAGCATACAATTCAATAGTTCAAGCACATCAAGAAGAGTTGCACAATCATCCCCACAATCAGTTTTAGATTATGTTCTTCATTCTTGGACTCATGATTAGCTAATCTTGTCCATCCTTTTATTTCTCCATCTTTCCATTCGTTGACTTATTGAACCGTGTGTGTCACAAAAGAATCCAAGTCTGGTTCCGTTTCACTTTTCCTCCTTTTAGAGCCAGTGTGAGGCCTGGAGGTTAGGAGTCTGGGGGGCTTCTAGGCTGTGATTTCCCACTCTTTTCCTCCTCTCTCGCTCAATTTTACCTGTATTATTTTTTGTTTTTATTTACTTACGTATATTTCTCTTCTGTTTCTGGAATAACGACAAAGAAAAATATGTCCTCTGTAGTTGCACAGTCGGCATCCTCCAATCAAATAGTGGCGGCATCCCTTTAAGCTGAGGTATGGGTGTGGTAGATGCTTCTTTCCTTTTCTCACCTTCCCTCCAAAGTTCCTGGTCCCTCTCCTCTTCCCCCACTCCCCGCAGCCCTGACCAAGTTCTAGGCTTTCCCGTCTCATCCTTCAGTATGAAACCCATTTTTCTTTGTCTTTATAAGATTGACGAACTTTGCGGAGCATAATTTCATACACATCTTAAGGTGCTTGACAGACTCCTCATTGCTTTTTAAGGGTGCATAATATTCCATTATATGAATGTACCAGAATTTGTTTATCCATTTCTCTATAGTCGGGTTTTTTTTAGTTGTTTCCATCCTTTTGCTCTTATAGAAATTGCTGCAATATACATGGGTATGCATATATACGTTGGTGTTTAGTTCTTTATTTCTTTAGGGGATATACCAAGTAGAGAGATTGCAAGATCACATTTGTATTTGCATTTGTTTAAGGAAGCACCATACTGATTTCTATAGTGGTTGTAAATTCTGCAATTTTACCAGCAGTAATGAGCATTCCAATCTCTCCACATCCTCTTCGGCATTTATTATTTTCTGAAGTTGTAGTTGCTGCTTAATTTTGTTGAGAGTGTCAGTATGCAGTGGGATCTCATTTTTGTTTTAATTTGTATTCCTCGTATGGCCAGTGAACTCGAACATTTCTTCATGTGATTGTTGAGCACAGAGATGTCATTTTTAATGAATTGTCTTTCATGTCTTATGCCCATTTTAGATTGGGTTATTTGTGGTGTTTATTGTTAGGTGGTGTAGTTTTCTATATATTTTTGAAACCAGCCTTTTATCTGATATATTATTGCTAAATATTTTTTATCCAATCTGTGGGTTCTCTATTGACTCTTCTGATGGAATCTTTTGATGAGCATCAATGTCGTATTTTTGAAGGTGCCGGTTCTCTATTTTGTCTTCTGTGGTGTGAGTAGTTTTCATTACGGTCAGTAGTATTTCTGTGCCTTCTATCAGAGCCTTTAAGTTTGTCCCTATTTTTTCATTGATGATCCTATGGTTCTAAGGTTTATATTTAGGTCTTTTATACATTTTGGGTTCTCCTGTTTCATTCTTTTGCAGGGGGTGATTCAATTTTGCCAGCACTATTTACTGAAAAGTTTATGTCTTCCCCCACTTAATGTGGTTCAGGTCCCTTATCAAAGACCAGGTGTCTGGAGGTACTTGGTTGTATTTCCGGGTTCTCAGTTCTATTCCATTCATCTACATGTCCATCGCTGGAGCAATATCAAGTTGTTTTGATTACTGCGGCTTTATTTATGAATTTTTCTAACAATTATTTGAATGTCAATTATATATCAGACCCTGTGTTAAACACTAAAGAATTTTAGTACTAAATAGGACTGATATTATTTCTGCCCCTGGGGAACATTCAGTGTACCCAAGGAGACAAAACAAATAAACAACTGATTATGGTGTGATAAGTATAATGAAGGAGCCATGCAGGGGAAGTCAAACCGGAAGTGGGAGGAGACTAACCTGGAGTGGAGTGTTCAGAGGGAGCTTCTGAGATATGGTTTTGATTATTTAATTTTTTGAAGATCCTGAAGTCTCAAGTTAGAAATAAGCATTGGCTTTATTACAATTTCATGCCTGGGGTGTGGGGTGGGGGCCGGGGTGGGAGACCAATAAACCTCTTCTGGTTTATTCAAGCATTTATGTTTGTTTATTTGTTTAATCTTCTTTCAACGCTTTTATAAAACTTGTTATGGTGGTTTGGATAAAAGTGCATAGAGCAAATTAGTTTTCCATTCAATGATTTCTTTACATTTTGATTCAGGACATTAATTGCAGACTTCACAATGTAAAGAATTCTTCCCACTTCCTGCCTGTGTTTACTGCTGACATGTTTTATCACTTTATCAGCTCGAGCTTTCTGATGGTGCAACTATGCATTTCTGATACTGTGGAGTAGTGTTTCCTAAAGTGGACCATACTGCCCCCTGGGGTGCTGGGGCGATCCAGGGAGGCTGCAAAAGCAGATCCCTACATTCATTCATGATGATGGGATCTCATTCAAAAGGTTTTCATTGCCAGGGAGGCGCTGAGTGATTTGTTGTTGTTGTTGTTGTTGTTAAGAACACAGGGGTCAAATAAGTTTGGGAACCTATGCAGAGGGAAAGGAAGCACCCTTTCCTTTTTATCCTGTATATAGATGTACAGATATATTTACCAAATGTTAGGAAGGCCTGTCATTTTAAATTCAAGTGCTAGAATCCAAAGATTGAGAACCAAGAAGAAAAGCAGACTTGGAACACTCAAAATTTACCAAGCACAAAGAAAGAGGTTTGTAACAGTTAGCTCCTACACTGTGTAAGCTGAGTTTAGAAAAACCTGGAGTGTTAGCCAAGGTGAGCTGAAGAGATGGTCCACTCATTGCAAAGGGAGAAAGATCTTGGAAGACCTTCACTTCTGAAGGTCTCAGTGTCAGGGTACCTGCCCTAACACATCATCATGGGTCTAGTAGGCACAATTGTACAGCGATAATAAGTAAAGATTACAGTAAAGTCATAAAGAGCATGAGCGATAGAAGAGAGATTGAAATAATGGAGTCAGACACAATTCATGGTAGCAATGTTCATCTCAGCCTCACTTGGGGCTTCACGTGGAGAGAGAGAGATATTTAATGCTAACCAAGGCTTTTATAGTCTCTGGGGACATGAAACTCCCTAATTACAGGCGACGACCTACGTCACAGGAAGGGGTTGCATTATAGGTTATACAGCAATGAGAGGGGGGCAATCCAGGGATATACATGCGATAGGAAGAGGAGGGATTGGGGGTATACATGTGACAAGATGGGCGGATCCTAGATGCAGGATGGCAGCTTAACTTTGGATGTCACTGAGCCGGTTTGACCTGCTCCCTGGCTCAGCTATAGAAACCATTATTAGTAGGGTGTGAATTCCACCTACCGGAACCAAGTTAATAGTCGCAAGCCTCAGGGAGAAGTAGCCCATTGCCCTTAACAGCAGGGAGCGGGGCCTACCATACTTTGGCGACTGATTGCCTTTAGGGAGGATGTCTGTAAGCATCTGAGCTCCCCCCACATGCTAGCAAAAGCCCCTAATGTTTGGCATGTCTTTGGGGGAGACAAAGCTGGGGAAAAGTATCTTTATAATCCCACAGTCTCAGGACTGATTGCTAAAAGGAGATAAAGCTCACAGCGTACATGTCATTTGGCCTGGGAGGCCTGGCTATGGTTTTAGTGAGCAAGGTGGGGGTTCCTGTTCCAAGCAGCTGAGAATCTTCAGAAAAGTTTCGGCAGGGAAGTGACATCGAACTGTTGTCATCAGTTGTCCTTGGGACAGTACATCTCTATTTCAGCAGACAAAATGTTTGCTCAGAAAACAGCTTTTCTCCCATTGTAATACATTGTACATAATAGGATTTCTGGGAAGGCCAAATAAATCACAAAACCAACAGAGAATTATTACCTTTGCATCTGACATAAACAAATGAGCAGGCATGCTTCTCCCAGCGGTTTATTCTTCAACATTTCCTACCATTCAGCAAAGTTTAAGATAATTACACCGGACACTCAGTCACCCATTACTTACAGGCTAGTATGATAGTTTCCCAAAGGCAGTGTTACCTTCCGTTTTACCTTGGTGGCACAGTGGGTTATGTGTTGAGCTGCTAACCAGAAGATCTGCAGTTCTAAATCACTAACCACCCTGAGGGGGAAAGATAGGGCATTCAGCTTCCTGTAAGGTCACTGTGAGTCAGAATCAACTCGGAGGCAGTTAGTTTGGTTTTCACTTGCTAAGTAAAGCACCACCCCAGGAAGTACTGCGTCCTCACCCATTCCTGTAGATCAGAAAGCCTGCTTGGCTTTTTATTCCTATGGTTACATGAGTCTAACAATAAGAAGGGACTTCCATTTTGAGCCTCAGGGTAGTTAAAAGGGAGACTAAACTTTCTCCAATACTTAGAATCATTGCTCTCTCACTTACTACCCTGTTTCCCCGAAAGTAAGACATCCCCTGAAAATAAGACCTACTTACAGTTTTGCCTCTTGCTGAAATATAAGGCATCCCCCTGAAAATAAGACCTCCCCGAAAATAAGGCCCCCGAAGCTACTGTAACTCTGGACTCTACTGTAGCAGCGGGCGCTACCATGCAACTCACTGTTGGCCGCAACACAGTCAGAGTAGACAGGAAGTGTGAGGTCTCTTTTAATAAAACAATAAACAATAAATGTGTACTGTACTGTATTCTTCTTCATGGAAAAATAAGACATCCCTGAAAATAAAACCTAGCACATCTTTGGGAGCAAAATTTAATATAAGACACTCATATTTTCGGGGAAACAGGGTATTAGGAGCTGAAGAAAGTTGGTTTCACGCAGTATCACAGGGGTTTCAACCCAGGAGTGACCCAGAACTGTGCTCCAACTTCAGATCTGCTCTGTGGTCTCTCCTGGCCCTTCTAGGGATGCGAAAGCTGCCGTGGTGACTGGCATGGAGCTGAAGGACATGAGCTCAGAACAGCTGGATGAGATCCTGGCCAACCACTCCGAAATTGTCTTTGCTCGGACGTCCCCCCAGCAGAAGCTGATTATCGTGGAGGGCTGTCAGAGACAGGTGAGTAGACAGTGCTGCAGCCAGAGGGTCCACATCCACTGGAGAATCCCCCAAATGGAGTCGCATCTCAGACCTGGGCGGTGGGAATCCTTTGAAAGCTTTCCCGAGGAAGCTCTGTGCCAGCCATGGTCATTTCACCTCTCTGCCTCTCTCTGGGTCTATGCTCCACTCTGCTCTCGTGGTTCACATCTGAGGGGAATGGTACCAGAATGCTCCACACTATGTGTTTAAGGAAAAACTCAAACTGGATCTCTGCTTTCCACCACTAGAGCTAGGGACTTCTGACAGCTGAGCAGAGTGTTGTGGACTTTCCAGGATTTGGTGTGGGTCTATAAGGATCTAACAATACCCAACACACAACCCCTGTGCACCCCCACACTCTAGTTTTTATTTGGAAATATAGCTGCTTTCAGTTCACTCTTGCTACTTGTACTTCCTGCTTTTATGTTTTCTCCTAAATAAGCCCTTGGTTTCCGCTCCAACAGTCGTCCTAGTCTTAAGATGAGATTGAGACTGGGATACTCTTGCCAAGCCTGTGGTCCCTCAGATCTGCTCACCTGCCTTCTCTCACCATGCCCCCCGCAGGACGCAGTGGTTGCTGTGACAGGGGATGGTGTTAACGACTCCCCAGCTCTCAAGAAGGCCGATATTGGCATCGCCATGGGCATAGCCGGTTCTGACGCAGCCAAAAATGCAGCCGACATGGTCTTACTGGATGACAACTTTGCGTCCATCGTCACAGGGGTGGAGGAAGGTAAGTGAAGTCTCTGGTGAGCTTACCGAGGTCTGGGGCCAGCTGGGGGACTAGAAGCAAGTCCTATAAGAAGAAATATTTTTCCCCTAGGTCGCCTGATCTTTGACAACCTAAAGAAGACTATTGCTTACACCTTGACCAAGAACATTGCTGAACTTTGCCCCTTTTTGATCTACATTGTTCTTGGGCTCCCTCTTCCCATTGGCACCATTACTATCTTGTTCATCGACTTGGGCACAGACATTGTAAGTAAAACTCAACACAGTGGTCTGTGTGTTAGACTGGGTTGACTAGAGAAACAAATTCATTGACAGTCATATATATGTAACAGAGAACTTAATATCAAGAAGTAATTATGCATCAATAAAATAGCCCAGTCCAGTCCAGATCAAGTCCATAAGTTGGGTATTAGCCTATATGTCCAATACTAGCCCATGAATTCCTTTAGACTCACGCAGCACATGCAATGATGCCGAATGCAGAATGATCACAGGCTGGTGGGTGGAAAGGCCTGTGGATCCAATGGCAGTAGACACATCTCCAGGTCTTTGGCTGCCATCAATGTGGCACCATGTGGCTTGTCAACAAAAAGGTGTAGCACAGAGAGAGAGTGGCCCCCTCTTTTGATGGCAGAATCAAGAGAGTGTTTTCCCAGAATCCTCATGAGAAGGCTACGCCCACAAGAAGGGATCATCAGGCTGTGACCTGATGAACAGGCTATTCTCCACCCCTTCATTCTTTTATCAGGTTGACATGAAATTGTGTAAATAGCACAATCTGTAAACATTTAAGAACAAGAAGATGAACCAAAGCAAGACTTCTCAGACTTCAGCACCATGAGGCCCCTGGGTGGCTCTGCTGATCTGTCAACCACTTCCCTCCATGTAGGAGTTTTTCAAGACTTAAGTTCTTTACCCTCCAGAAAGGCTTGTGCCCCATTGGTCATTTCGGCCCCTCTGCTTCCCTCTTCTTTGATGAAGCTGTCAACGAAATAGTTTCTGCTCTGTTAGGACCCAATGAGTAAAGGGAGAACCTTACAGTTACCCCTCTGTCAGTCAAAAAATCTGTGATCTGAACTCCTTACCCTTAAACACAGTAAGAAGTGGGTGTTGCTATCGCTTGATCTTGACTCCATTCAAATTGTGCAGCGTAGAACTGTGTCCCATGGGGTTTTCAAGGCCATTATCACCTTTGGGAAGCAGATCATCAGGCTTGAATTCGGAGGCACGCCTGGGTGGGTTCTAACTACCGACTTTTTGCCTATAGTAATCAATAGCTGTAGTAAGCAATAGCAGTTATTGAACTTACACAAAGAAAGCTTTGCATTAACCTTCCTTTCTCACACTTTGGAAATCACTCCTCTGGCTCTAGTTTCCAGGGCCGAACCATAGAGGACAAGCTAAGTTCACACCACCCAGAAAGAAAACCCCACTGCCATTAATTTGCCAAGACTGTAATCCACAGGAGCAGAATGCCCTGCCTTTCTCCTGCGATGTGGCTGGTGGTTTCAAATTTAGGATTTTGCAATTCATAGCCCAGCGAGTAACCATTCTACCACTAGGGCTCCTAAATTCACAACAAGTTGCCTTATTTTTCTCCTCTGTTGTTTTAAGTAGCAATCGAGTAATCCCTGCACTGCAGGAAACCTAGAGACGGCTTTATATCTTAGTGGAATTAAGGGCCAATACTTTCTAATATAATTATTTTCTGAACCCTATAAACTTGTTCATTGTTCTCCACTGCAGAGGTTCTCCAAGTGGGCTCCCCAATTTGGAAGCCATTGGCATTGCCTGAGAATTTGTTCTTTCTCACTCTACCATGAGTCAATTCTGACTGAGAGCAACCCCGTAGGACAAGGTAGAACTACCCTTCTGGGTTACCAAGACTATAACTTGTTAGAAAAGCAAATTCTCTGTCCCCACCTGATACCGTCAGAATCATGAACTCTGGAGGTGGGGCATAGAGATCTGTCTTTCGCAGGTCCTCCAGGGGATTCTGATGCCAGCTAAAGTTTAAGAACCACTATTCTAGTGCAATGGGAGAAAGATCAAGTTTTCTACACCTGCAAAGAGTGACAGTCTTGGGAACCCACAGGGGAAGTTCTACCCTGCCCTTCAGGGTCACTATGAGTCGGAACTAACTTGATGGCAGTGAATGAGTTCTAGTGCATTGTAATATGTATGGTCCAGGGAAATGCTAATGGAATAATAGAAAAAATCCATCCCTGTGGGGGGGGGGGTATGCTTAGGGCTACTTGTCCATGAAAGTAATAAAAAGTAGATTTATTTCTTTAAACTGGCTGCTTTAAAATTCTGTACAATGAACGCTGCACACATAGATAGACATGCCATGTCCCCACCACCATGACCGCCCCTCCACCAATCCTTCCACTTAACACCATCGCCACTGCTGTTATCAATATTCTATCAAGATTAGAATTCAGTCTCTCCCCTCTCTCTAGATTCCCTCTGTAGCCTTGGCTTATGAGAAAGCCGAAAGTGACATCATGAACCAGAAGCCTCGCCACAAGAAGGAGGACAGGCTGGTGAACAGGCCCCTCGCCATCTACTCTTACCTGCACATTGGTATGCTACGGGCATCTCCCACCTGCACCAAGGTCCACCCCAGAGAATTCACTTGAGACAGCAACTGCTGTGTCTTAGGGTGGGATTGGGAAAGGAGCAAGGAGTTTGAGGAAAACTATAGAACTCTTACTTCAATAATAAATAAATAAAACAGAAGGAAGTCTTACCTCTTATGTCTCTTATTATTTTAGGCCTCATGCAGTCCCTGGGAGCTTTTGTTGTGTATTTCACCGTTTACGCACAGGAAGGGTTTAGGCCCGGCTTTCTCATTGGCCTCCGGGTAGACTGGGAAAAGGACATGAATGACCTGGAAGACAGCTATGGACAAGAATGGGTAAGGGAGGGGAGCGCTCTAGCCTAGCGGCCTATTGGCTGTCCTCTCCGATCGCGGTCTTACCCTGAGTAATACTGAAGCTTCATTTTTCTGGTCTGCCTTCCTGCGACAGGGAGGGTGAAACTTTTCTCAGTCACTAGGGGCTTGTGGACACATGGTTCCGTCTTTGCCAGGACTCCAGCTCATTTCTCAGATTAGAGCCCTGGAGCTAACTTCTTGACATTAGTTTACTCATTGGTCTGGGACAGTAGCCCCCCTCAACACCAGCAGGTGGACAAAATACATGTATTAGCATTCTTCTCCCAATGATCCTGGTTAAAGGGAAAGACTAAGGGTTCTTTCTGAAGACAGCGTGGGAATCCTTTATCATTCTTGATGAGAGTGAGAAGAGAATAAAGCTTTACCAAACAGCCTTCAAATGTCACTAAGTTTTCCCTTGTGAGACCCTCCACCTCTACTCTCTGACAGACACGGTACCAGCGGCAGTACCAGGAATGGACAGGCTACACAGCCTTCTTTGTTGCCATTATGGTCCAGCAAATAGCAGATCTGATCATCAGGAAAACCCGGAGGAACTCCATCTTCCAGCAGGGTCTCTTCAGGTATTGACAATATCGAAACTCAGGGCTTCACTCTGCACCTGTCACTCCAAGGGTTAAGAGTTCCGTTGACTCAAAGGGCACAGCTATGGCTTTGCCTTTAATGCACAAGGTATTAACTCTACTGGGTGGCCTGGGACTGGGTCGTAGCATCATGGTGAGTTCAGATTCCGCTGACTTTCATGGATCTGTCTTACAGAAATAAAGTCATCTGGGTAGGGATCGCCTCACAGATCATCATCGCACTCATCCTCTCCTATGGCCTTGGGAGTGTCACAGCCCTAAATCTCACGATGCTCAGGTGAGTTCACCATGCACTGGTTGCAGAAAGAACTCACCACTACCCCGCCCCCCGCCCCCTGCCAACCTGACATAGCACGAAATAAATCAAAACGAGATTTTAGAAGCTTCCCTTCTCCCCTAAGTCTCCCCTAAGAGAAATATGAGCCAGTTCCATCTTCCTCAAACTTTTCCCTAAAGAGACAATGAGTTTTCCAACTGTTATCGCACCTCTCATCCAGTATATCGCTTCAAAGGCAAATGTTGCTTCTTGTCATCACAGTTCCTGTTCAATGAAAAGTTTTTCGTATTTATATTGTACTGACCCAAAGAATCTGTTATGTCCAGTACGGCAGGGAAAATGAACAAGAAGTCTTCTGCCAAAAGCTGGGGCTGGACCTTTCCCTGACGTGCTCTGGGACTCACCCTCCTCCCTTCCATTTCCAGGCCTCAGTATTGGTTTGTGGCTGTGCCTTTCGCTGCTCTGATTTGGGTATACGACGAGGTGCGGAAATTTTACATCAGGCGTTACCCTGGAGGTTAGTAGTAATAGGATTTGTGGAGTTTTGCTTGCCAACTTCAACAGACCTGATTTCTAATGGACTTTTTCCTACCTCTCCAGGCTGGTGGGATATGAACATGTATTATTAAGACCATCTTATTTCCCAAGTCTCCCAATCAGACGTTGATCACGTTCTCCATCTTTTGGCCACAAGCTAGAAGATCCCTTGGGCATTGGGAACACCATCAAAAAGAGCAGGTGGAAAATGATGAAAGATGTTCAACTGATATTTTGAACTTGAAAGCTGAGATTCAACTATTTCGATATGACCTTTATCTGTCTCTACTTGTTTTAAAAGATGTGAATTTCAAGGTAATGATGTAAGGAACAGGACATGTATATATGTACATAAATTTCAAGTCTTCTGTAACCCAAACACCTGCTAGCATCTCCCTGCTCCTTAAGCTCCCATTCTGCTGAAACCTCCATTCAATACTCTGTAAAAGCCCAACAAAATTTCAAGAATTTCTGTAAATTCCTGTGGAACTTATATTTGCATTGCCACCTTATTCAAAAAAAGGCTTCTTCCACTGGAAGCTTGCAGGAGATGGAGGTGGCAGCTGGTTTACATCATAACAACTTGAACGACCTCAAGCTTGACTCTAGGCATCCTTAAAAGTCCTCAGCCATCTTGTCATGACCCAGGTTACCTGGCCTCATCAGCCCTCATCCCAACCTCCTCCCAGGCTCTACTTCTCATCTTCCCTTCCCCACCCCAACACCATTAAATGGCCTCTCTTCCACCTCTAGACCTTGAATTTAGCTTTCTCCAACTCCTCCAAGGAGCCCTGGTGGCTACTAGCCTCGTTGGGCTACTAACCTCAAAGTTAGCAGTTCAAAACCACCAGCTGCTCTGCCGGAAAAAGATAAGACTTTCTACTCCCATGAAGAGTTACAGTCTTGGAAACCCACAGGGGCAGTTCTATCCTGTCCTATAGGAGTCAGAATCAACTGATGGCAGTGAGTAACTCCTCTAAAACTAAGCTCCATTTTGCATATCCAAACTCAAAAAGCTCTATTGATCCAAAGGATCTTTCATTTGCCAAGATTCCATCTCAGTTGAAAAGCACTGGTTTTAAAAGTAATATTTACTTCTTGTAAAACTGTTACAGAGCACTGCCCAGCCCTAATTGTATGTCAATCATGTTTCTTCATTTAGGTTCATTCATTTGTAACATGTACCTCGATGCTGACAGGCCAAGGAAGGCCTCATTTTTAAGTAAAAGTTGTTTTAGAAAACCAAGTCTCATTGTGGTGTTCTGATTAACCTGAGTTTTTCAAGACTGCAGAGATAGGACTCACACACGTGCAATTTGAATTGTTTTTTTTTCACCTTTCTTATTTACAGAAGGTCAGAAAATGTGGGTTGATTGTGTGAGCCCTCCTCTCACTAGAGTTCCTGCGCAGTATGCTGTGCCTTCTGATGCGCCCTCGTTTCTGAATCAGGGCTTCTGTGGGAAGAACAGATCTTCAATAAGCCAAGTTCTAGGGCAAGTCATTTTCACCATCTCCCCATCTACTACACACCCAGTGCAAATCTGATATGGATACAACCTGTAAATTTTATCTGGTTACATTTTTTTCTCACTCAAATAGCCTGCCCCCTCCATCTTTCCTACAGCCTGCCCTTAAGTCAGATGTTCTGCTGATGGCTCTACATTGATCATCTCTGGAACAACGAAAGGGATATTTAGAGCCATGGTCAGCTACCAACATTTTCTAGGGGTCATTTTAATAGTATGACTTAGGTAAAGGGACCATTATTAGAACTTTATGTGAATAGATTGTAATGTGAAATGGGTAGTGTGTGTGTGTGTGTGTTTAAATTAAATAATATAGCTATCCTCAGGATTTTTAACCTTGATTTTTCAGCCACAATTAGCAGTGGACTAATCTCTATCAGTAGTTCCAGTGAACTGGAAACCTTTTCTAGGCTATAGTTGAACAGCATGGTAATAGACTTCTAGTTCCAATCTTGACAAGTGCCTGTGCTTTCTAGTTTTCTTTTTCCTGCCAAGTGTCCAGCATGCTCTTGGCTGTAATCATCTGCAGCTCTTTGTCCTGGGAGAGCCGGGTAGGAGATGTCTATAAATAGAACATACTCCTGAAAAAAAAGACATTCAAATAGTTGTAAAACAAATAATAACTAAGGAATAAAAAAAAAAACGAGACTAGCTAATCAAATTACTTTAAATTGTAGAGAGGAAAATTCCACAAAGGTCCTTATCAGGATTTTGTGGGGTTGGTTTGTTTTTCTGTTTTTTGAGGAATCTCAATTCTAAGACATACTTTTTTAGGGGGAAAAATGGCAAGCATAATTTAAACAAAATTTGTGGGACAGAAGAATGGAGATATAAGAGTATAGTACAATACACTGCATGATACAGCTCTTCTAGCCATAGTCTTTCTAACTCCCACCGAACCACTTTTTCCTGATGGGACTGAGTAGGAGATTGTGGGAGAAGATGCTAATAGATCATAGGATTTAGTTGCGGTGATTGGTTACAGCATTAGTTGTGATTGTACAATCGCCATTGGAACTCTCAAGATACCCTTTATCAGACTCACATACAATATTGTACTAGAAATCTTAGCCAGAGCTGTTAGACAACAACAAGAAAAGCATCCATATTGGCCCACCTACAATCATGATACCTTCTGAAAGTTAAAGCAATAAAATACTAGCAACTTGTAGTCATTAAAAAAAAAAAGTTCCTCCCCCCATACGAATTTATTTCAGAGGACAGCACTGAAGCTGCAGCTCAGGGAGATGGATATGTCTGATCAGAATATATGGGAGCAAATGAAGGGGGAGGAAGAGAGAGTGGAGCACATCCTGGCCCACCAATCCTAGAGGATAATATTCCCACTCAGAGCAGCCAATCCACAGAGAAGACCATATGGCCGGCCCCACTATGAGACAGGATACCCCTCACTGACCCATAGTCCTACAGGGGACAACACTGGGGACACAGTGTGGGAATTGCGCCCGATCTGATCCCACCACACGGAGGCAAAACACTAAGGGTGTAGTACAACAGAATAGCAAGGGAAAGAGAGCAACGAAGTCCCCAGGGAATACCAAAAATGGACTTTGGGGCCTGGGCTTGACACCCCATTAGACTCAACCAAAAAACACTTCTAAAGGCCAACAAACAGTCCTTGAATGAACTACAGACTTTACTTTTTTGTTGTTGGTGGTTTTTTGTGTGTCATTGCCTTTTTGTTGTTGTTGTTTTGTTTTCTTTTGTGGCTTTGTTTTGCTCTGTCTTGTTTTTGTGCATGTTATTATCTCTGCAGGTCTGTCTAAATAAGATAGGCTGGATGAACAATCTCGAGGAGAAAACTACAGAACCGAGGGTTCCGGGGGACATGGGAGAGGGGGAGGTGGGGGGAAAGGAAGTGTTGCTAACAAACCCCGGGATAAGGGAACAACAGGTGATCCAAATCAGTGGTGAGGAGGGTGTAGGAGGCCTGGTAGGGCATGATCAAGGGTAATGTAACCAAGAGGAATTACTGAAACCCAAATGAAGGCTGAGCATGATAGTGGGACAAGAGGAAAGTAAAAGGAAATAGAGGAAAGAACTAGGAGGAAAAGGGCATTTATGGTGGTCTAAATAAAGGCATATACATATGTAAATATATTTATATACGAGGATGGGGAAATAGATCTATGTGCATATATTTATAGGTTTTGTATTAAGGTAGCAGATGGACTTTTAGTCCTCCACTCAAGTACTCCCTCAATGCAAGAACACTTTGTTCTATTAAACTGGCATTCCACGATGCTCACCTTCCTGAAATGATTGCTGAAGACAAATGGGTGCAAAAGTAAATGTGGTGAAGAAAGCTGATGGTGCCCGGCTATTAAAAGATATAGCATCTGGAGTCTTAAAAGCTTGAAGGTAAACAAGCGGCCATCTAGCTCAGAAGCAACAAAGCCCACATGGAAGAAGCACACCAGCCTGTGTGATCATGAGGCGTGGAAGGGATCAGGCATCAGGTATCACATATCGGGATCAGGCTTCAAAGAACAAAAACTCAAATCGTTGTGAATGAGGGGGAGTGCATATTGGGTACCCAAAGCCCATATGTAGGCAACTGGACATCCCCTTACAGAAGGGTTGCGGGGAGGAGCTGAGGCAGTCTCCTCTAGTTCCTAAATGCTTCCTCGCCCCAACTATCATGGTCCCAATTCTACCTTACAAATCTGGCTAGACCAGAGGATGTACACTGGTACAGATAGAAACTGGGAACACAGGGAATCCAGGACAGATGATCCCTTCGGGACCAGTGCCGAGAGTGGCAATACTGGGAGGATGGAGGGAGGGTGGGGTGGAAAGGGGAAACATTACAAGGATCTACATATACCTCCTCCCTGGGGGATGGACAACAGGAAAGTGGGTGAAGGGAGATGTCGGATATTGTAAGATATGACAAAATAATAATTTATAAATTATCAAGGATTCATGAAGGAGCGAGGAGGGAGGGGGGAAAATGAGAAGATGATGCCAAGGGCTTAAGTGAAGAGCAAATGTTTTGAGAGTGTTGAGGGCAGCGAATGTACAAATGTGCTTTACACAATTGATTTATGTATGGATTGAGATAAGAGTTGTATGCACCCCCAATAAAATGGTTTTTTTTAAAAGCCTCTGCCATGATGAATTTTAGATGTTGGTTTGGTGGATAAGGGAAAAAACAAACAAACTTATAATCAAAGTAAGATGTCTGTGGTTTGTGTCTCTCTTTTACAAGTCTTTCAAGAGGATTTCTCCAAAAGAAAAATAGCAAAATGGGGTGGGGCTGGGGATTTCACGAGTCTTAAGTAAATACTCCCCCAAAAGGGGAAGGTGTTTTTCACTTTGTGTATGAGGGACAATTATATGAGTCTAGATATGTTTTCCAAATTTGTATATATCTTACACTTAGTAAATTATGATGCAAGGTGTTATCTGGAAAAGTCTGTTTTAAGGAAGTGAATGAGAAGGAGCATAGAAGAAAACCAGGAATTGGGTCCAGATGCATAAATCTGAGAGTCAAGAGTTAGCATGGCATAAACATGGAGAGCAATAGAAAGACTGGTTCAAGATGTACTTGAAAAAATAGTCAAGAGTCTTACCATGTTGTTGATAGGGTATCAAATAGTTTGTAGGTGCCAGCAAGTCAAAAACTTAGTACATCGTGACACTGTACAACATAGGGAAACCTGGTCCTGTGCCACCTCCACAGTCATTGCTGTGCCAGAGTCCATTACTGCAGCCACCGTGTCAATCTGTCTTTTCAAGAGTCTTCCTCTTTTTCACCCACCCAAGCATGGTGTCATAACCCAGAGACTGACCCATCCTGAGGGCACATGCAACCTATGTGAGATGAAGTCTTACCAGCCTTGCTTCTAGAGCATTCTGGCTATGCTTCCTCCAATATAGATTTGTTCATTCTTCTGACAGCCCTTGATACATTCTGTATTACTCACCAACACTAAAATTCAAAGGCATCAATTCTTCTTATTATTCATTGTCCAACTTTCTCATGCATGGCTATGAATTAGATCAGGTACACCTTGTTCCTCAAAGTGACAACTCTCGCTTTTTAACACTTTAAAAAGATATCTTGACGCATATGTGCCCACTGTAAATACATTGTTTGATTTCCTGACAGCTCTTCCCTGGGTATTTAATGTGGATCCAATTTTGATTTTTTTTCTTCTTATCAATATGTGCTTATTGATCCAGTTGTGAGGATTTTTCTTTTCCTTGTTGATGTATAATCCATATTGAAATCTGTATGTAGCTTTGATCTTCGTAAGTAAGCATTGCCAATACTCTGCTTTCAGCAAGCA